TAAAACAACCACTACAAACTTCCTCTTCTCTGTCACTACTATCAACAGATTCTCAGGGAAAACAGTAAAGCAAAGCTTCCTAATAGCACCTCTATTCACAGAACTGAGCAGGTGCTTGGCAGAGATAAATTAATTAAGAGGTGAAATCTCAGCTTCCCTTATTAAATCTCAGAGCTGCTCCCTAACAAAACCCTCCCCTGCAGCAGATCCTACACACCAGCCCGTGGCACTGCTGTTTGATGGCTTTTATCATTGGCTTTGATGTATTTTTCCCCTGATGGCATTTACCTATAAGCTGAGGAATCTGGCTGCAGAACAAAGTTCTGAGGAAACAGGAAAAATGGGCAGCTCTGAAGCACCCACTAACTACCACATCCCCTGAGGGTCTGGGCACGGAAGGGAACAGAATAAGTGTGCTACAAACCTGTGGCTAAGGTCTGCTTGGCTTAGAAATACACACAGCCTCTGATTTCTATAACTGCATAAGACATTGGTAAGAAATGGCAGCTGATTACAGTTCTACCAAAAAATACAGAAGGGAAATGGGGGAAAAAGCAAAGCCCAACCCATATTCCTTGTTAAAGTAATTCTTACCACATGCTCCAGCTGCTTTCATAGCTGCATTTCAGGGTAAGAAGAGACCATTAAATGTCAGTTCACAAAGCAAATTTCATCTTATCTAGACTGCATGTCAGTTTGTCCATCTGTAGTACCCTGGCTGAAGCAGGAGCTGTGAAAGGCATTCAGAGCTGCAAAATCCAAACCTCTGTACTGAGGAGGCAGAGCAGCCTGTGCCCTCTCATGATAAATGGCAAGCAAGGACAGAACAGAAGTCTGAGAAAGACCATGAAAAACCCACTGCTGGCATGGGGTATAATTGCTCTACATAGTGGTCTTGTGATCTCCTAGAAAATATAAACAAATAAAGAATATTTAGGAGCAGTACCATCAATCTCCACAGCTAAGTTCATGCCAGTTTGGGATTAATACTGAGAACAGTTATAAATGCAGCAAAAATACTGAATTTTATTTGTTGCTACAACACAGCCTTCACACTGCATTTGGCTGTAAAGGTACATGGAAGGCGGAAATATCACAGGGATGTTTTCCTACAACCTGTTCAATTTATTTCCATTAGAACAGCAAAATTCATCTTAGAGTAACAACGAGGTTATGTCTGATGCTGTTTTCTTGAAAGCACACTCCCACTGAAATACATCAGTGTCAACACTTTCCAAAGAAATTAACTGAATTTGTATTTTTAGAATCTAACCAGAAAGCCAAAGCCCAGGGACACACATCTGCTTCAGCCCCGTGGCTCCCAGGCACCAATGTCACTGGGGATGTCGTTGCTTGCTGGAAGGCTCCTGCTGCAGCCCCGCTGCCGTATGCATGCGGACAGCTCGCTCACCAAAAATAAGTTTTTGTGTCACATCAAAACAAGCACCTGCCAGGGGCAAGCAGCTGCCACGGCCACCACTGCTCTGCAGTGCTCTCCCCACGTCCTTACTCACTGACCTTTCTACCACCATCCTGGCCTCTTTTTGTGTTTGTTGCCACAAATATCTCCTTTCTCCATCACAATGCCTGTTTATGACTCCTTCGGGTTCTTCCACTCAGTTTTCCAGCTTACTTCATCAAAATGGGTACTTTTATAAGCAGAACGAATAAACTCAAAGACCGTAACAGGGTTTGTTACATATTCCACTCCCATTTAGATCCATCTGCTCCCCACCTTGGACTAAGAGCACTGCAGACAACAATCTCTCTGTGAGACAAAGGCACGGCACTGAAGAGACACAACTTTGACAAAAGAGACAATTAAATCCTCAGCTCGTACAACCCTCCTGCACGCGCCTCTAAGTGCTGCTAGAAAGCAGCCAGGAGCTTCACTTCAAAATGAACATTGTAATAAAATGAAAATCAGACTCTTAACCAAGGGGAACTGAAGGATCCTTCATTTTCTTCTCCAAAAGGTAAATTTGCCATTTCATCCCCAGATCCCTTGAGCTGCAGAAATGAGAGAGCATCTGCCAGCTCACTGAGCCACCTGAGTAACTTTTTCCAGCCTAACTCCAAACCGCAACAACTTGCCATATCAAACTGCCAAATCTACAGTGCTCATTTCTTTCTGTGAATCCAGCTGTCATTTTTCCCAAATGCCTTCTCAGTCCCAACTCTCCTGATGCCAAAAAAACCTTTTCACAGATATACATAATTTTGCAAAACACATATGTTCTCTGTATGGCACATGAAGTCAATTAACAAGTTTACTTACTGAATTAAAGGATGACACACAACAGTAAAACAAAAACCTCTTGCAGACAGCAAACACATGAACCTTCTCCTCCAAGAGAAGGCCTGTTACAAGGCAACAGGCTCAGAAGGAGCACTGAGTTTCAAAGCCTATGTTGAGTACCACAGATGATCTTTCAAGCTTATCTCCGTAGCATCTTTTATCCTGTAATTCCCCCGGTGTTTGTGATCATCAGCACGCTGAGTCAAATGTAAAACACGGTCAGCAAGCACAGAGCAGGCACTGGGGCAACCCTATTCCCTCACAAAAGAAAAACAAGCACAAAATAAAAGCACGTACCTTTTAACTGGTCAGCTACCACGCTCTGACCGACACGCTCAACCACCTTTCCATCCTCCATTTCATAGCGATCATCCAAATATTTGGCAGTAGCTTCCGAAATATGGACCTTCCCAGCCACCCCAAGCTGCTCCATCAGGTTGGCCAAATTGACATCATTGGACCACACATCGAACTTGAACCTCCTCATGCCTAAAATGCCACACAGGACTGTCCCGGTGTGAACACCGACTCTCATGTTCACCATTTCTTTCTTCTCCTGGCAGAACTGCTCGATGGCTTTGATCATCCCCAAGCCCATCTCGATGCAGCAGTAGGCATGATCTGCGCGGGGCTCGGGGCAGCCGGCCACGCAGTAGTAACAGTCTCCCAAAGTGCTGATCTTCTCACATTTAGTGTCCTCACACAGACGGTCAAAGCGTCCAAAGAGGTCATTCAGGAGTCCCACCAGGGCGTGGGCTGATTTGTTGGCGCTCATTTTCGTGAAGCCAACAATATCTGCGAACAAAATGCTCACTTGCTCTATCTGCTGCATTTTAAAAGGACGGAATATTATGGGGGTTTTCTGTATGGAGGGCTTCTTCTTCCTGTTTTTGGGGCTTGAGGTGGAATGACGTTTGATGGAGTTTTCACTTTCATCATCCCCCTGCTTCATTAAGTCATCGGCTATTATTCTTGGCATAACAGAATGAATCATCCTCTCTTTCAGGGCTTTTTCCACTTCCAAGTCTTTTCCATGCATGATGGATTGCCCCACTTTCAGGAATGTGCTTCTTGATCTGACTTCGGACATGATAAATAAATGAATACCGATGGCATGGATGCAGATGTGCAGGAAGGCTTTACTCAACAGCTCCCAGTAAACCGCACCAGCTCCCAGAGGTGTGAAACAGTTCTCATCACGGAAGTGATAACCAAAGGTCTCAAAGAGGACCGAGTAGGACAGTCCCAGAAACAAGCTTAAATACAGGGGTAAGTGCATCACTGTGTAAAGCAACAAGAGCACTTCAATACACATAGAAAAACTGCCCACTTGAGAAAGACAAGTGTCTGTGGGATCTGCCGGGGGAGTCCGGTTGGACATGTCACCACTTCCTGAGACAGGCTTCAGAGCCTGGAACTGCGGAGCGAGGGTCAGAGCAAACACCAGGAGGGTGAGTATCAGCGAAGTCCATACGTAATGGCGGGCATAAGTCTTAGTGAAAGTGAACACAAAAAAAGCTACACATACCAGGAGGAAGCACAGAGCCGGCACCATGAAAACAATCTGTTTCTCTCTCATGTGTATGCCGAAGTAGATGCCCCAGAGCAGACAGGCCACGCCAATGTAGAAGAGGGCATAGCGAAACCTGCGCTGGGTCTGCGGGAAGCATCTCTCCATGCAAGCCTCCTCCAGGTTGTTGGAGTCGAACTTGGGGTTCCACCACTTGGAAGAGGCCCTCTCGAAGAGCTGCGGCAGCTTCTTCTGCCGGCGGAGGCCGGAGCCACTGCCGCCCGCTCCGCCGGCTCGGCGGGTGCCCCCCGACTCCCCCGAGCTGCAGCTAGAGGAGATGCTGTACTTGCAGTGCTTGGAAGAGGTGCAGCCCTGGTGCTGCTTGGGGTTGATTTTCACCGTCACGCTGTTGCTGTCCCCGCTGGAGTCGCAGCTCACCTCGGTGCTGTGGTGATGCAGCAGCTGCTGGTGCGGTGGGGAAGCCATGTTGTCAATTCCTCCTCAAGAGCCCGCGCCGGACTTGGGTCTCTGGGGCTGCCGAAGCCACCGGGCTCCTCGCAGAGTCGCCTCTAGTCTCCTCCGGTCCCCGCCGCGTAGGGGCGGCCGGGCAGCGCCGCGGCGATCGGCCGCTCGCCGGGCTCCGCACACTGCGCGCCGGGGCAGCCCCGCATAGTCCCCTCGCCTGGGCCGAGCCGGGCCGGGGCTGCCGCCCCCCGCCGCTGGCCCCGCTCCCCCGCAGCCCTCCCGAGGCACGGGGCGGGCGGGCCGGTGGCTCAGCCCCGCGGGGGGGACGCCGGGCCCCCGCCGGGAGGGGACCGCTCCTCCATGTCGGCTGCAGCTGCCCGCCGCTTCCTCCCCGCACGGCCGCCGACGAGGGGCCGCCTCCCGCCCTCAGCCAGCCGCCCGCCCAGCCGGGACGGCGGCAGCAGCCGCTCTCCTCTGCTCCGCCCGCCCGCCCGTCTGAGGAGAGGAAGGGGAGCGCGGGGACGCGCTCAAGCGGCCGCCACCATCTTCCTCACGGCGCGGGGGGGGGTTCGGGGGGGCTGCGGGAGCGCGCCCCCGCTGGCCAATTGGGCGCGGCGGCGCGGCGGGAGCGCGCCCCCCCCTACACACAAACACACACTTCCCGCCTCAGTGCGAGGGTCGCGGGCAGGAGAGGGGACGGTCCCCTCAGAGAGAGACGGGCGTGATGTTGGCGGTGCTCTCCGTGGGACAGGGACGGGACAGCGAGGGGTGGCATGAGCTGGGCGGCACCTTAGGGGGGACAGTCCGCGGGGCCGAGCGCCGGGGTTCCCGGGCTGCCCCCGCCACCGCCCTCCCCACCGGCTGACATTTGCCATGCGCAGACAACACGCACTTCACCAAACAATTCAGCCCGAGTCTCGCTGCAAACTCGCTGGGTTATTTTTCTCCTCGTTCTCCGCTTGTTTATGGCTGACGCTATCTCGCCTGCACCGCTCCCTCGGTTTCATTATCTCTCCTCGCAGATGGCCCGTGGCTTTCCTTCTTCACAGGGCTTCTCTCTGCTGGTGCTATAGCTCCCTCTTCTCTCCCCAGCTCTGCATCCCTCACCCTTGCTCACAGGTGATGTTCCCAAACTGGTCTCACCTCATCCCACTCAGCCCCTCAGCTCCAGCCCCAGTTCTTCATTCTGTGGCTTCTCCTTCCCTGAATCCCATTTACTTTTTTCCAGGTGAGCCTTCCCCAGCAAAGCACTTCTCTGCAGCTGTCCTTCCTCCTGCAGTCCCTTTTCCTCTGAAGGCCCCAGCATCCCGTAAAATAAAGCCAATGGTGCCAATGTGATAATAGTGGCACTGTGGCCAGCGGGACCAGGGCAGTGACCATCCCCAGTGCTGGAGCACCTGCAATCCCAGGGTAAGTTTTCAGCCCCTCAAGGCAAGACAGACATTGAGGGGCTGGAGAGTGTTCTGGGAAGGGTGTGGAGTACCAGGAGCGGCTGAGGGAGCTGGGGGGGCTCAGCCTGGAGAGAGGGAGGCTCAGGGGGGGCCTTTTGGCTCTGCACAACTCCTGACAGGAGGGGACAGCTGGGTAAGGGTTGGGCTCTGCTCCCAGGGAGCAGGGACAGGATGGAGCAGCCTCAAGTTGTGCCAAGACCATTTCAGATCAGATATTGGGAAAAATTATTCACTGGAAAGGTGGTCAGACACTGGCACAAGGTGCTCATGGCAGTGGTGGAGTAACCGTCCCTGGAAGTGTTCAAAAAATAAGTGGACGTGGTACTTCACAATATGGTTTAGTGGGCACAGTAGTATTGGGTCAAAAGTTGGACTCAATGTCCTTGGAGGTCTTTTCCAGGTCTATGACTGTCTACTCTTTTTAAAAATAGTAATAGAAAATCTGTGACTGCACAATTACTGAAATTGAAACTTGCCCTATTTTCCATTTCCTTTGTAAAGATGTCCTGTAACCATGCTGTAACATATGTTCCTAGTATTATTATTTAGAAGAAATTTGTATTTCCTGACATGCTCAAATATCAAAATAATCTCTAAAAATTCCAATCAATAGCAGTAATTGTTCTGGTTTTGCTGTGACATTGTTGTCTCTTGAATTCCAGCTAATGGCTCAGCTGATCAATATTTTATAGGGAGTGCTGCTTATCATGCAGCTCTTACATAAACACTGTTGGGAAGAGAGAAATCCCTGAGCTGACAGAGCAGAAAGGCAGGATGGCCTCCTGGGCTTGGCTATTAATTGATAAATTTACTAAAACTTCTTTCCAGCCTTTTTATTGATTCATCTAATTATACTTTAAGTTACACTCTTACTTCATACAGGATGATGAATTTTTTAATCGGCAGGATTAAAGAAGTGCAACAGTTTCCAAGGATTCAAAGGCATGGTGGGAAAAGAAGAAAAGTTTTTTACCTCATTGGCAGAGAATTTAAGGTAAAATTACCTGTGTTTTTAATATTTTTTTAATGCAAACCTGTAAGATTTATGTTGGGTGATTTGGACTTAGAGATTTAAGAGGTACTGAAATTCCAGCATAGATTTTTTGTGTTGTTCCCCTGGGCTCCATAAAGTGGTACTTTGTGTGTTCTTAGAATAAACAGGATCACATCAAAGATACTTGCTACATCACAAGTTTTCACTGAGTAACCCACATGATACCAAATTTTGTCTGGCTACTGGTCAGCGGCAGCTTTTGATCTCCACTAATAAAATAGTTCCTCTTTCCCAGCGTATGTTTATGGGTTTGAAGGAGGGAGATGGGATGGAAGGAGACATCTGACTTGTCAGACCCTCCTTTAATAAAGCTTCACATGGGGTTGTGCAGAATCCTTGCTCCCCCAAGAAGCTCCCATTAGACTTTTAACCTGTAGGCTCCCATCCTGCTCCTCCGCTTGATCTTTTGGGTGGAACAGTCACCAGCCCAGCCACTCCCCACCTTCCCCTGTCGTTATCAAGTTCCATGGAAACACCCTGCATGTGCAGTCAAAGAACAGTTCTCTTCAATTTCATTAGCTCTGGCTGGGACAGACCTTGTGCTGTCTCCTGAAACACCGAATTTTTAATTTCACTTTGCTTTTATTGTGTAAATTTTTCTCTGTTGAATTCAAGTAGCAGATTAAATACATGAAGCAGAAAACCACAAACACCAGTGATGCTTGGATTCATTTTAAGTGTGACTGAGATTTGTTTTAGAGAGCAAGAAGTGGTTTGAGGTTGTATTTGTTATTTCCTCACCACCACCACCACCTTCTGATTTGTTTTTATCCAGGATGGATGTAACAGCCAGCGTGTCCTCTAAGGCAGCACCTGAGTGGGCCATGTCTGTGACATCCTTTAAGGAAGATGCTTCCTCTGGATCACTTTCTTAGCCACCACAATGAGCCATCCTGGTAGAGCTGGGAGCCTCCATGCAGGCTGGTTCCTGAGTCCTGGGTTCATTCTGCACTTGGTTGTGCTGGTTCCCTGTGGAGAGCTCTGATCACCCTTCCAAAATACTCTGGGACTGTTTTCCTTTCTCAGAGACTGAGTTAGAGGAAATACTTAACAGAGCAATAACAGGGCAAATGCAAATCCTCCTTGCAGAGTTCTTTTAACTTCGAGCCACTAAATACACATTTAGTCTATGGAACTGTATTTACTTCCCCTCTCAGAGGAACAAGCCTTGTCAGCTGTAATGATGAGCTGTTGTTTGACGTTCATAATATTGCACTTCACTGCTTATCTGATGGAGGCACGCAAAGTTATTTAAGGGCTTCTGAAATGTGACAGCCCACATGATGCTTTTTTAGACTTCCCAAACCGCCCTCACGAGGCAGGAGAATATGGCATGGGAACGGCTGGCTGGAACAGCAGCGTGCCTTAATGCCAGAGGGGTGCTGTAGCTGGGAAGGAGGAATGGGCTTTGAAAGTTTGCAGCTTTTGTTGTGTGCTGTCAAAGGAAGAACTTGCAGCCTGAAGGAACAGGCATCGTGGGTGCCATGGGTGGGACTGTGGGGATTATTGATCCTGCCTGGTAACAGCATAAAGATGGAGGCAAATATGTTAAAACCTGTTTGGACCATCCACAGACAGAAGGGGGCTCAAGGGAGACTGCTCAGATGCCCCATTTCATGCTATCTTGCCTTAATAAACAGAAAGATCTCACTTTCTGACAAGCTTCTGTATCTTCATCCTTGCTGCAATGCAGAGCAATCATTGTAAGTTTTGAATCCTGGAAGCCTCCAGGTTAAAGAACTCATTTAAGAAAACCAAAACTCAACAAGTCTTCTGGCTTCTTTTCACAGACTAACAGGTAAACATTGGCAAATATTGTGAAAGACTGTTACTCCATCATGATTTTATAAATTATAAAGTATCACAATGTTTATTTCATTTTTCCATAGCAGAAGATCACAAGGGTTACCTTTGACATCTGTTCCATATGAACCCACGGAAGATGAGTAAATGGGTGGTGCATTCTCACCTCCTTGCAGTGCCCAGGTTGGTTTTGTGTTCTCTATTTTCATCCTTCTGAAATTGCTATTCAATTTATTCATATCACTGAAGGGATTTCATATCCCAGATGAGATGCACAGATTAAATAAGCAGGTAAGCAGTAGAAGATCTTTTTACGTGACTCAAGAGAGAGGATAAATCCCAGTCCGGATGAGTGGAAATCTCTGACTCCCCTGTGACCAGGATTTTACTTGCAGGCTTTATGGTTGTCTCATTGGAGTGGTCTTTTTGCCAAAAGCAATGCAGAATATTCCACTTAGTTGACAAAATGTCTGCCATCAGGAGGTGGCTTCACTCAAATATACATTTCTTTAAAATGAAGACAAACTTGAATTTATTGCTCATTTCATTCATAACCAGAAGTTCTCCTCACTTGCCAAACTGCTGAATCAGCTTGGGTACCTCACCCTTGAGTCAGCACAGCCCAAAACAGAAACTTGCTCCATTTCCGAAGAGGGGAAGTACCACTGCTGTCTGCAAATACAGCCACATCTGACATGCTTTTATAGCTACAAACACTCAGTGCAGGGACTTGCATGGCACTCTGCTGCTAAAAAAAAAAAAAAAAAAAAGAAGTAAAAAGGCACTTTCTTATTCAAAATAGGAGTCTTTGGGTTGCTATGAGTGGGACTGTGTGGATGTGGGAGTCCCAAGGAATAAAGAGCTAGAGAAGGACTTTACAAGTGGATGTCATTGATGTCACCTAGCCTAGCCCAGCATCAAGCTCCCACTCCACCTGCTTGCAGTTTCTCAGGACATACTCAGGAATTAGGCAGACAATGAACAGACTATAACCAAACTGAAGCAAAGTCTTAAGCCATTGGGAAATAATGGCAAGAAAACATGGTAGAAGCTCTAAAACACTGACAGGAGATCAGCTACCAGGGTTCCCAAGGTAGAGCTGAGTCAGTCCTGCTGCCATGAGGTAACTCCACTTTATAGAACAGCATAAAACAGCAGAAAACCTGGGGAAATGACCATGAGCTGCAGTCAAATAGTGGGAAGTGACACTAAAGTCATCAGTAGGTGGAAGGCAGTGAAAAGGCCCATAAAAATAGTCCTGTGTGAAACAAATGAGGGAACATTTTCTATGGCTCCAAGTCGGGACAAGAAGTAGAAGAATGAGGATAATGTGAATTTGCTCGATCTGCCCTTCTCAAGCTCTGCAGTTTTTTCTCTTGCAAATGAGCATCTGTGGTATTTGGCATCCTACAAAAGCACCCCCATTGTCCAGCAGCACTGGGATGCCCCCTTCCCATGGGTGTTCCTGGTTTTCCTTTCCTGCATGCTGCAGGATGGTGTCGTGTTCTTCCTGGTCCAAGCAAACTGCTGTTCCTGTGCTTCCATTAAATGCGTCTGAACTGGCTCTGTTTTCCACAAAGAAAGGCCATTCCAACAGGCAGACAAAAATCAGTAGCCACTTTCAAACCATGGGCAGACAAGATGTGATCCTTGGCACAGGATTTTCCTGCAGTACTATGGAGGAAACTGCAGATATTTGAAGAAATTGTCATTTCTGCAACAGGTGTGAGGGCTGCAACACACAATTTTACCATTTTTGGATTTTTGCAACGATGCAGTTGCAAATTGAAACATGTTTTATATTTAGTGTTTTGGATTATTCAGTTGAAAGAGGTGGGAGTGAGGATTTACAGGTGTAATTACAGGATTGTGCAGCCACCTTAGGAAGAAGACCTGCTGCAGATCCACAGAAAACCCCAGCTAAGGAATTGTATGTGCCACAAGCAATTACACACCGTAAAACTTCGTGAAACATTTGCTATGTGTGCACTAGGCCCTTTTTAAATTTAGATTTCTAGGAAGAAGAGAATTGCTGGGGCATTTCTGTGACCTGATCCCTCGTCTTGGTTGATCCGCGATGGAAAGGTGACCCCAGGAACGGCTGGGAATGGATCTGGTGAGAGCCATTGCTGTCTGAGCCAAGCAGAGTGTTCCCAACTGCATCCCTGAATAGATTCATTTGCTCTTTCCCTGGCTCTATTTTAGCTACAAATCTGTTATTCTGCCCTGTGGGTGCCAACATTTTGTTAAAAAATAACCGAACTGAGTAATATTGGATTTCTGGTGCACTTTTTTTCCCCAAAAGGGTTGAAGTGAACGTTCTTCTCACCTATACTTAGGACTTCACCTGTGTGGCTGCAACTCTGGTGACATCCCGAAAGATACATGACCCTTACTCCTTCAGTGGGGCAGATATATCTCAGCAACTTAGCAATGATGTGACAAGTATGAATGGGAAGGCATTGAGAAACTATCTATTTTTAGTTTGTATTTAAGACAATTTCTACACACTTTTGTGTTCTCAAGCTTGGAAAAAGTTCACTTTTGTCTACAAACACAGGAACCAGCTGTTACTTAAAATTTTTGTTGTGGTGGTAGGATTGAGACTTGGATGAAACAAGAAGGATTCATACAGGGACATTTATAGAATCAAACAATCATGGAATGATTTGGCTCAGAAGGGACTTTAAAGATCATCTCTTTCCAACCCCCTTCTATGGCAGGGACACCTTCCACTAGACCAGGTTGAATGTGAAAGCAAACACCTTCCAAAAAGTCTTGCTTAAAACTGAGCATGAATGCGTGTTTGTGCCATGTGCCTTGTTCTGTTTCCAGAGGAAACAGACGAAGAAAATGTTGCTGAGAGCACTAAAACATAACACTTTGGCAAAGGTGGTTATCACATCCTCCAGGCATTTTCACCTGTGGTGCTGCCCTGACAATTGTGGTGTGTTGTGGAAGTGTGAAGCCACTCAGGACTGGGTCCTGCTGGTTGTAGATGAGCAACTACATAAATACCTTTTGACAGAGGTAAGAGGGAAGGGGAATAGTGGTTCTGAGAACTGAAAACACAGCAAATGTTTGTTGGAAGGGGGAGCTGGGGAGCAGGACAAGGTAGCACATAGAACCCAGTGAAAGGTCACAGAGGGAGAAATGCTACAATCCAGCATTTATTGCCTAGTGTTACCGGGATTTAGGAATGGGACCCTAATCCTTTTATAAACCAGGAATCTCCTTGAGTTGTGTGAATGGGACAAGCGACAGCCACCATCAATAAGCAAAAATCACACCCCTGTGCTTTGTGGCACACGTTAAACTCTCAGTGGAACAGTCAGGGAAAATCCCTTTCCAGCAATTTCCCACCAAAGGCTTCCTCCAGACTGCAGCTTCCAGAAGCTCTGAATGATTTGTACCTGTGAGAACTGCTCAGAGGTTGCTTGGTAGATTCAGAGAGATTAATTATTCACCAAAGGGAACTTGGTAATGATGGTGCTACTATGTGTGATCTCATACCTAAAACTGTCCCACATCTTGTCTATTTATTTGGGAAATTAATTTCTAGAACACTTGGAATACAAAACCAGGAGTTGAAATTGCCTTTCAGTATTTCTTCAGTACAAACAAAAAAACCAAACAAACGAGCTCATTGTGTTTCTTACATGTTCAGTCAAAACATCTGTTATTAATGTTAAATTCCTGGGTACCTGGAGAACCTGTTCTTGAATAAGCTACAAAGCTGAAGCCTGCCTGAAAATATTAGAGTAAGGTATCCCACCATCTGAAGGATTTTCTACACTTCTGCAGTGATTTCAGGAGGCAGAGACATGTGGCCAGAGAAAGAGAAAAGGCTCCAGCCATGTACCAGGGAAGTGGGGCTGAGAAACAGATTGATTGTTCTAAGTGGCTTTTTCCTGTCTGTTCATTTATTCTCTTTTACCATCCTTGTTTCCATTCCTTCCTCAGCTTTATCTCTGTTGAAGAGCAGAGAAAATATTCTATTTCCCTTTCATAGTTGTAACACATATTCATTAAGTCTCATTGTATTATAACTCAAATAACTCTTGCCATGTTTGATTCTTTATTTTGACCATATAAGCTCTTAATTATGAATTTGCCCTTCATCTGGATCTCTTGCTTCCTTTTTTCATTGAGTTCAGTTCACAATCAAGTCCAATGGACTGCTTTAGAGACTCTTTGAGTGAAGGTGTTTGGATTTTTATCCAATTTTCCCTCCTGCCCTGTCTCACCCCTCCAGCTGTGCTGCTCAGACCAGGAGGCATCAAGTCCATCACTTTGCTACAGCCTCTAACTCCTTCTTCCAAGCCAGAAATGTGGGCAGGGCTCTTGGAGAGATTATCATCTTCCTAACCTCAGCCTGAGTGTAAACCAACCCACAGCCCACCTCTGTCCCTAGATGAGCAGTTGTGCTTCTCTAACTTTGGAAACTTCAGCAACACAGAGTTGCTGCTTTCATTTTTCCCCAAAAAGGCAAAACACAGCAGTGACAGATTAGTGGGAGGATGTTTCTTTCTCCAATGGAACAAAGCTTCAGGTGGCCAGTGTCTGGAGCCCACCACTTCTGCACTGCTCAGTGCCCTAGGAGAGGATGCAGATGTGGAATGTTTGGGCTGAGGTCTTATTTAAATTATATATTAGGCTGAAAAATGAACACACAGGAATGAAGGATGCTCCCAGTGCCTGTGGGTGCTGCTGCAGCTTGGAGCTGACAGCAGGATTGGTCTGGGCTGCTCCATCCTGCTCCTGCATCTCAAGGCAAAGACGTGGCAAACACCATGGACTGAAAGAAGTCCCTTTTATAGGCCTCAAATCTTACAGAAAATAAAGAGATACAGGGCTGAAGAAGCCTCTTAGGCTGGAAATGCATTCAATGTTTCTGCAGGATAGGGAGAGCACAGAGCTTCTCTTACCAAAACCAGCCAAATCTACAGGACTGTGGGATTGGAAGACTTTTATGTCTAGCAAGTAATAACTGTCTTTAATTAGCTTTGTTTACGTGATAGATGTCAATGTCAAGCTCTCTCAGTGAAAAGGGCAGAATGTCCTTAGTGGGAAATGTGAGTTTTGAAGCCTGACAACATAGAACCAGCGGGAAGGTTTGTGCTCAGACTGCTGGGGAGAAAAATCACCTTTGGCTCAACAAAACAGGAAGGATTTCAAGCCCACAGCAGAAGTTTTTCAAGAAACTAATGAAAATGGAGGATTATAGTTTAAACTGTTTTGCAATCGCTGGCCTCAATCCTGCAGACACTTTTCACACACACTCAACTTTATATCTGTGGTTGGTTTTGCTGACCCTCATGGGATTATTGACACCTGGAGATAGAAGTGAAGGCCAGACTGTTTACAGAGCAGAGTTTAAACTACAGCATTTTAATTAAAAAAAAAAAAAAAAAAAAAAAAAAAGACATTATATCAAGGTCTGCATAATCGGCTCATTGGGATCCTTTATGTTTGAAAAAAAACCCTGAGAAATTCAGGATTTAAGATTCATGAAGTGGTCTCAGATCTGCTCCCTTGTGTGAATAGGACTTCTTGTTATGCTGGATCACAGCACTGGGCCACAAAACTTATTCAGCAAATATTGGAAAAAAACCCACCTTCATAAAATTGGAATCTATGGCTCACATGCAAATACTGTCTGCATTTCTTTCCTCTCTAAAAAAAATATGTTTGACCACTACCTGAGACTGAAAGGTTTCTCCTCATCAATAGAGAGCAACTAATTGGAAAAAAACCTGGTTTATAATTTTTTTTTTTAATTTTGATTTTTT